TATACACAGTGAAGAATATGCAGTGTTTTTATACATTTGATTACCTTATATAATGCATGTAGCCTTTCTTATTTATTTGTTCTACTGTAGATTTTTGTCCTAATGCTTGAAATTAGTTTCTTAACATTATTTAATCGTTGACTGTTTACTTGTCTTGAATCTTTTGTTTTTTAATTTAGGCTAGTATTAGTTTTTTTGTGATATTGACAATGAAATTTCTTTGGTATCAAAAATTTTGTGATAACTATACTGTATTGTGATGATATATATCGTTACCGAGAAATAAAATAACTCATATCGCAATATAAGATTTTGGTCATATCGCCCACCCCTACATCAAATAAATGAATAAAACAGCCTTGAAGCTGCTAAAAGTATCCTTAAGACTTGTGCAGTATATTTCAAGTCTTTAGAAGCCATTCGACAGAAATGTAAGCCGCTATTCACTGAAAATTTCCTGCTCTAAAATCTCTTTCAGATTGCATACATTCATATGACTCATTAAGATGCATGTTGCCAGGTTGAATCCAATAACAAGCCATTAACATCTGACATTAAACCATGAGCAGCATTTTTTGGTACTTATATGGTGGGGGGGTTTTTTTGTCATTTTTGTAGCCTGTCCTCTTTTGCTTTCATTGCATGGAAGAAGCAGCATGAACATTCTTTAAAATATCTCCTTTTGTGTTCTGCAAAAGAAAAGAAACTCATATGGCTTTAGAGCACATGAGGGTGGGTAAATGATGAGATGAGAATTTTCATTTTTGGTTGAATTTTCCCTTCAGGCGTAAATGCATAACAAAATAACCACTGAATAAAGCTGAAATGTTCTGAAAGGAAGAGTCGTGTTTCTGTTGGCTTGTGTCTGGCAGGCTGCCAGAGACCCTCCTGTGAACTCACACACATCCAGACACAATTAATTATGCATGAGCGTGTCCTGTGTTCTTGAGACGCTCGTGTGTTTGCACACAAGGTTACAAGTGTTTGTTTCTGTGATTTTTACTTTTTTTTAAATAAATGTGCTGTTTGCACAAGTAAAACTTACCAGCCTTCTAAGGAGTTGTGGGTGGTTGCTATGCAGCTGCTAGAGTATTGTGGATGGTTGCCAGGGCATTGCTGTGCAGTTGCTAAGGCGTGCCTATGCAGTTGCTAGGACATTGTGGGTGGTTGCCAGAGTGTTGATATACAGTTGCTAAGCTGTTGTGGGTGGTTGCCAAGGCATTGCTATGCAGTTGCTAGGGCATTGTAAGTGGTTGAAAGGGTGTTGCTATGTGGTTACCAGGGCATTACCATGCAGTTGCCAAGGTGTTGCTATGCAGCTGCTAGGGTATTGTGGATGGTTGCCAGGGCATTGCTGTGCAGTTGCTAAGGCGTGCCTATGCAGTTGCTAGGGCATTGTGGGTGGTTGCCAGAGAGTGTTGCTATACAGTTGCTAAGGCATTGTAGGTGGTTGCCAGGGTGTTGCTATGCGGTTTCCAGGGCATTGCCAAGCAGTTGCCAAGGTGTTGCTATGTAGCTGCTAGGGTGTTGTGGAGGGTTGCCAGGGTGTTGCTATGTAGCTGCTAGGGTTGTGTGGCTGGTTTCTATGGTGTTGCTGTGCAGTTGCCAGGGCATTGCTATGCAGTTGCTAGGGTATTGTGGGTGTTTGCCAGGGCATTACTTTGCAGTTGTTAAGTCCATTTCATATTATATTTTTTGATATTTTGCTCTCTTTTGCTTAGTTAAACTTTGTCTATGCTCATTGGCAGAGAGTCCAGTATGCAGATGGTCAGCAGTATAAACCAATCAATACAGCAGAGTGTTTAAACCCAGAGTAGCAGCATGTTTGTTAAAGAAACATCATGTCCACGTCATTTCATCAGCTGCTGATCCATGGAGATGAAGGAATTAATGGCAAATACAGACTAAACACTGAGCAAACAGACGCCGTCACACACACACACTGAACACAAACACTGAGAAACGAGGTTTATAAGGGACACTGTGCTCATGAACGCACCGATACAGAACAATGAACAATTCACAATGAAGCTCTTAATTTTAGACACTTTAGGTAAAATCAGACAGTTTTATGTGAAATAAAAACAGGCTACTTTTGAAATCTGTTATCTTTAAATTGGACAAAATAGGACATTTTCCACTTCCGATATCAGCCAAATCTGAACAGTTATGATATTTTCAGAAAATTCAAAATCCAGGTGACATATCCATGCGAAGTCATAGTTCACCCCAAGATCTAAAATTATATTTTACATAAAGAAAAATAAAAGAAAATTCATCCCATTAAGCTATTACGATATTTCAGATTTTCACATTATTTTCAAGACAATTAAACATTTAAAATTAAACCAAAAAATGCTAAATATATATATAATTAAAAGTAAAAATAATAAATAAAAATTATAATTCTCATTACTGTAAAAACAAAAATTCAAAATGTTTAATTATTATTATTATTTTAATTATTTGGAGTATTTTATATTGATTTTTAAATTAATTTGTACTGCATCGATCGGTCACTGAAACACAAAGGCTGACCAGATTGTTTGGATTTGTGAACTATACATAACACCTGACCTTGAGCCCTGATTTCTCTGACCCGTTCACCCTTCGCTCCCTTCACCCCTAAAACACCATCTCATTATCAGACTCCAATAAATCCAACACCATTAATCCTCTTATTTTCACCCTAACCTCTCATTGTGGCCCTCTAAACCCACAGATCCATTTTAGGCCCACGATTAAACCCAAAAATCACAAATTGCAGACAATCCCAAAGGAACTGCTGATGGAGAATCCTGGCAGCTGTCTGAGTGGCCTGTTATTATGATGTCACAGCACTGCGGTCAGTGTGTCGTACAGGTCTGAAGAGCCTCCACATGCTCGGCGGGGTTGTGAAGAGGTGCCAGGATGAATAATAAATGCCCGCAGCTGCCAGGGACTTTTTGATCTCCAGCAACTTCAGTACGGCTGCCACAGGGAACGAGGTCTTAGCCTCTTGCGCAGAACCGCAGCTGCCTGTCGAGCACACTTACTAATGCTCACCGATACTGATATCGCTCTTCTGCTATAAAGGAGCAGCGAGAGCGTTCATAAGCTGATATTTACAGCACCCCCCTCATCTGTACAAGACTACAGCTTCAGGAATCAGCTGATCGGAGCAGGAACTATTTCTGTCTGATTTGACTCTTAAAAACTGGTTAATTTGGACATTGCAACACACAAAAAAAAACATTTTGTAGTAGTAATTTTATGGTGTATCATTTCTTATGATTGTAACTTAAGTAAACATTTACATGCATTCTTTGTTTAATATCTTGATTGCAATGGTGGAATTTTGGCATTTCTTATTCTTTTCTAGCTTGTGGACTGTTTTTATTACATATTATACATTTGGCAGACACTTTTATCCAAGGCGACTTGCATTAAAGGAAGTGTCTTATGCTGTAATTTTAACTTAAATATTTGTATGCATTCTTTGTGCAGTATCTTGCAACTTGCAATGAAATTAGGAAATATCTTTTGCAATGATTTTCTTTGTTGGATATCTTGTGACTTGCAATGCAATAGTGGGATTTTAGCATTTCTTATAATAACTTTTACTGCACTGTTCTATCTGTCAATTCTTTTCTGCATTTCCCTTCTGCTCTAGTTTGTGTACTAATCAATCTTATTACATTTATGCATTTAGTAGATGCTTTTGTCCAAATCAAAGTGCAAAAGAGGAAGTATCTTATGCTGTGATTTTAACTTAAATATTTGGATATTTGATGCAATGCAGTGTCTTGCAACTTGCAATGAAATTAGGAAATATCTTTTGCAATGATTTTCTTTGTTTGATATCTTGTGACTTGCAATGCAATAGTGGGATTTTAGCATTTCTTATAATAACTTTTACTGCACTGTTCTATCTGTCAATTCTTTTCTGCATTTCCCTTCTGCTCTAGTTTGTGTACTAATCAATCTTATTACATTTATGCATTTAGTAGATGCTTTTGTCCAAATCAAAGTGCAAAAGAGGAAGTATCTTATGCTGTGATTTTAACTTAAATATTTGGATATTTGATGCAATGCAGTGGTTGGATTTTGGCATTTCTTATAACTTCTACTGTAGTGTTATATATTTCTATTCTTTTCTGCTTTTCACTTCTGCTCTAACTTGTGTACTAATCTATCTTATTACATTTACATTTATGCATTTAGCTGTTGCTTACAAATGCATTTAGCAGAGACTTACAAATGAGGAAGGCTCTTATATTATGATTTTTAACTTTAAAAATGTACATGCATTCTTTGTTCCATATCTTGCAACTTGCAATGCAATAGTGGGATTTCTTATAATAACTTCCACTGTATTGTTCCATCTTTCTATTCTTTCTGTATTTCATTTATTCTAATCTTATTACATTTATGCATTTATTAGATGCTTTTATCCAAAGCAACCTGCAAAAGAGAAAGTATCTTATACTATGATTTTAACTTAAGTAAACAATTACATGCATTCTATGCATTCTTTGTTCAAAATCTTGTGACTTGCAATGCACTGGTGGATTTTGACATTTCTTATAGCCTAATAACTTTACTGCATTGTTCTATCTCATACTTAAACTATTATGATGTTTACAATGTTCTATCTATCCTTGAATAAAACCATCTGCTGAATAAAAAATGTTAAATGTAAATACATTGGACATCAGTCAGAGTTTCTTGTGGCTCCTTTAGATTTCTAAAGTATTTCCAAAAATCTCCCACAAAGACGATGCAATAACATTCACTATGATTGCACACATGTGCAGATGCTCAAACAGAACCAGATTTACACATTCAGACAATCAAGTCATGCAAGCAGAAATTACAGCATGCTACCCAAACCAGATTTGGATGAGATTACAGACATCTGGTAAAATCGGATTTGAAAGATCCACTAAATCAGATATCCACCAAAACCCCTTCTGCGCATTAATCCGCAAGCAATGGTTAAGAGAAGGTTTCCTTTTTACCTGGAGTTGTTCAAGTTGTCAGAGCTCAAGAGTATGAGTCCACACCGGCTGAACGGATGAAGATCAGCTGAGCTGAACCGAACCAAAGTGCGGATGCTCTGGTGCCACTGGCGGAGAAAGAGCCAATCCGATCCGAGTCTGCTCGAACTTCAGTCACATGAAATGAATTGAACTCCACAAATGAAGCTGTAATTGCTCTCGAACAGTTTCCGACGGTAAAGCAATGACAAGCACCGGGCACATCCGCGGACGAACGGGCACAGGAGAGACGCGCGCAGATTGACGCCGGCCTCTCCGCAGCGGCGCCTCCGTCTACTGAGAGATCAGAAACAAAAGCGTGCTGAAGAGGAAGAGGAGCACAAAACCACAAAACCCCCTCCCGAACCCGAGAGAGAGAGAGAGAGAGAGAGAGAGAGAGAGAGAGAGAGAGAGAGAGAGAGAGAGA